ACTTCATCATGATATGAAAATCAAATTTGATTTTCTAGTTTTTAGAATATGCTCGAATTGCTATATCGAATCCGAAATTCTAGGAATGCCTATATGAATTCACTCTTGATTTTCTAATTAGAAAATCAAAGTTCATATTTTTAATGTTTCGAATATCTTATTTTCAAGAATTTAGAAATTCATCGGCGAATTCATATAGGCATTCCTAGAATATCTTCGATTAAACTCTATAACTCATTTTCTAGTTTACACTGCAAGAGGTTGCTGTTGTTTTCTAATGATTTTTCGTGGTTTCTCTTAGTTTCTAAACATTCTCAATGATATCTATTGATTTGCGGTAAGTAGATAAAAACTGATTTCTACTGATAGAAACCATCAGAAATCATAAGAAATCATGGGAATCAAGAACTCATTTTCTCCTGTTGATGATGGAGAAAGCTTTTATTATATTCCTCTTTTGTAGTCATAAATAATTAAAAAGATTCTGAAGGAATCGCACCAATTTGACAGATCTGAAGAGTTTTTTCAAGATTAAAATATGTGGAAGTTAGTTTATGTTGAGTCTTTAGTAATTTTCAGCTGACAATCTTGGACACTACGCATATTTCTGATTAAACATATCGACTAAAGTAACAATTGCTCAATTAATTTAATAATTAACCCTTTCGAGGCGATGTCGCTCATCGGTGGGCGACGCTATACTTTAACGAAAAACTGTATAGAAAAGCACTTTCTTTTGCTTTTTTCTTAGGCAGGAGGCTAAACACAATATGAATTCTGCTCTGCCCTGGATGTTTTTTGATTCTTTTATTCCATAGCATGATATTTCTTATTAAAACAACCAAGATAAAATAATTAATTACAGTCAGAACAAAAGATTTTTATTTTCTTTGCTGCTGTATAGCTCTTTTCTCTTGATTGTGGTTCCTTTCCTTTCTCATAGCAGTCTACAGGGTCTGCGAACATTGTGTGCAGATTCTTCTTTTTCTGCAAGCTTATGATCAGCTAGTTTACACTTCGAAGTACTTGTTGATTGTTGCTTCATACCAAGTTTCAACATCTCGAATGACGTACTAAGACGGAATGATCGTACAAGATTCACAAAACTGTAGCATGGTCACATGGCTTGTGTCATAATTTTCCTTGTAAATCAAGTAGGCGTTAACTATTGCCGTTCCAAATATCAATTCAGATGTCACCTATTGATATCATTTCATGGATCGCCTGAGGCATGTATAGTACGCTGATAGCTAATCAGATAAATCTATACCTTGTTTTCCTCCATTGGAGAATGCTCAATAATGAAAATAAGAAGAATATGTCTTCTAATTGCACCTATAGGAGATGTTGATCAAAACAGAAAGAATCAAAGACGATGCTTCGAAAAGAAAACAAAAACAGATTGACATTTTGTTTCTCTGTATTGTTCCTAGTGCAAATACATATGAGAGAAAGAGAAAAGCAAACTTGAGTAACTATTCAGTTCTACGTGGAACAAGATCGCTGTGTAATGGTACAAACAAGTAAAAGAGAAATGAATGGCTGTATATACTGAAAAGTCCAACGAGTGCATTTATCGAGAGTGAATAGACATGAAGATGAATGTGTTAAAGTTATTTTCTATGAAAACCCAATTGCCTCGAAAGGGTTAAGGAAGAGTTTTCTATTGTATCTAAAACATCGCCTCTTTGTGAGATCTTTTTCATATGGAGAGACCTTCTGATCTGAAATGTTTTATAATAAGAGTAACGGTGCAGATGGCAATCGTTTGAAATAGAATACATCAATTAGACAAAAAGTTAGATAATTCTAGTGATCTCTGATGAAATTTTAAAACATGTCTTTTTTCGGTTCGGTTCGAAAATTTTCGACTTCGGTTCGGTTCAAGGATCCTGAAATTTCTCTCGGTTTCGGTCCGATTCTGTGTAAATTTTGGAAAATCTGGACCGTGCTCATCTCTGATCTACACTCGCACCCACATCGACACATCCACCCACACCCACACCCACACCCACACCCACACCCACA